GGGGGATCGCGATTTTTCGATTGTAAGGAGAGTTTGATGGTTTTGTTTTTTCCATTCTTTCTTCGTGTTAGTTTTCGAGTTCTCGATGTGTGGTGCATCCACATGTGACCATGCCATTGCATGTCTGCCCATCTTGTTGAGTCCGCTTGGCAATTCAGGCTGGCGGGATGATAGCCATAGATTACGAGACCAATTTATTTTTATTTTTATTTTAACTAAGACCAATTTATTTTTATTTTTATTTTAACTAAGCTATATTCCTTTTTCCATTTCACTAACGTGCCCATTTCACTAACGTGCCCATTTCACTAACGTGCCCATTTCACTTCTATCATCTACTTTTTTTTTTTCTAAGGGTGGGTGGTCAGAGAGGAATTTCAGTGGTTAGTCTTCGTCTTCATGTAAAACAACGATTTCGTAAAAACGAGCATGTTTCTTTTTTGAAAAATCATGCCCAAAATTTGATGAAATTTTGGTTACGGCGTTCTGCAAATGCTACACCCCTTCAATGTATTTAGACCCACATATATCCAAGGGGTACAGGGTGCTGGCCTGGGTGTCCTTACGCCCAGCTTCCCCATTGGTTCGCGGACCGTCCAACCATCACCGGTCGTGGACCTTCTGATCATCGTCGTCCGTCGACCTTCCGACCATCACGGTCCGTACTCTACTTGTATCCGCTCGTATATATATATATATATATATATATATATATATATATTAAGTGATATTTTCCTCTTAATTTTACTAACGTGCGCATTTCATTCTTGTTATGTACTCTTTAGTTTTCGTCTTCGTTTTAGATGGGATATATGTCATGGACATAGGACCTCTGTACACAACACTAGCCAAACGCCGACTTTCTGAATGGATCTAAACACATAATTCGTCCGGATACATTTAAAATGTTGGCAGTTGGTTATGTGTCTATTCAACGTGCAACAGAAAAGTTTCAACCCCGTTGTACCCGTTGAATAACCCTCGGGGCCACGTTGAATACTGTTCAACGGGGAGGGCGCATTGGGCCTCCGACACGTCGGTGGATGCGCGTGGAGCAAAAACAAAGATTCATCCCATTGAATCCCGTCGATTTTTTTATTTTTTATTTTTTTTTTTGCCTCTAACCACAAAGTCCAGGAGCATGAGAGCATTCATTAAAGTACACGACACGACATCGCAAAACGACGTAATATCACGACACAGCACAAGATAGCTGTAAAACCAGAAGAGTTCCATTAGAATTACAATCGGCCGTGGCTCAGGTTAAGCACGCAACAATCAACGTAAAGTGCGCTCTTCAGCACGTCACCACCATCACCAGCCCCCCCATCCCATCTTCCACATCCCGACGTACTAACAATGTGCCAAAGGCACAAAGGGAGTCAACCGGCGTCGGTCAGTTACTTATGTAGTCTACATAGTCAACCAAAATCCGAGTCACTGGACTCTTGTCGGGCCCTATGGGACAGCGAAACGGGTACCGGGCGAGTGCCAGGTCACCGGTTCGACGCCAGAGGACTATCCCACACCAAGCAAAAAGCAAACTTCAATCCAAAGCAATAGTTCGAAGCCAAACTCGAGATCCTACACTTAATCTTATTTTGAAGCCCCGCCAAATGATAAATAGACAGCGGGTCACCGGTTCGAGGCCAGGGTCAGGCCGCTGGTTTCCAGAACTCAGGCACACCACTTATCCACAGTGCTTCCGTACTATTCTAGGATTATCCCCAGGTCCTTCTAAACAAACATCCTACACAATCAGATTGACAGCACATTCGATGACAAACATATTCTGCAATCAGACCCATTGTATCTACTAGCAAATCAGAGCCGAACCCAATCTACTCTTGTGTGCTGGTCAGAAGTTCGGCCAACAACTTCCAGAGGTTGCTCTTATCACGAGCAAAACTCTCGAGGGTTCGGTCAAAATAAGAACTTGGGTACCTCCTTCTCCGTAGTTCCATCCGGAGAAGGATCAGAGCACCAATCGTCTCAGAGGTCTCCATGGAATTCTGATCTATACGATGCAATGCGCTGACTATGACTGCCAACTTAGCCTTCTTGCTCGTTCACGACTCGAAGTCCTGGAATGTGCGGAAGGTCAATTTGAGGCCCTACATCAGTTCCTTTTCATTCTTCACCTTCTGACAGCACCCAAGGCAAGGAAAGTTCTCCTGCACACTGAGTTTACAGCCCAGGAAATCCCAGGAGCCTTCACTCGTGTCTATTTTCTTTAGTGACAGTGCTTCGTCGTAGCAACTCTCGAATTTTGCCAAGATCGTCTCAGCATGCACCTTCGATTCCGGTTTCCGGGCGTTATATGCCACAAACAGAGAAGCATCATCAACAAATCGCAGACCCTCTACCAACCTCCGCTGGTTTCCAATTGTGATCATAAAATCTCATTCCGCCTTTGCCCACATCAGACACCCGAGGGGCGGACTCGAGGATTTACCCATGGGTATGCCAACTAATTGCTGCAGAATGTACCCGCTCGCCATCGTAAAACATTGTTTCAGTTCGAGCGAGACAAACGGCTGGATCACATCGAAACTCGAAAATGCATAACCCTCAATTGAATCACTCCGACTCAGTTTCCAACCCCTCCCTCTCCTTTTCACAAACACACCAGATCTCCCACGTGACCTATGCCACCACACGCTCCATTCAACTGACCGCTCAATCGTTCCATGCGGAAGTTTACTAAACATATCTTTGATATCGTACGATCCTGTCAAAATCCGCACATTACTACATGCTCGCTGCATTTTCGCATTCAATGCATGCAATCTCCCTTTCATTTCACCCACTGATCTCAGGTTGAAATGCCCACTTGCCGGAAGGCCGAACAACATGCCATTCAATGCTTGCACAATCTTCCTGCACAACAAAATCGAAGGCTCTTGGTACGTCGGGCAGATCGACCGATATTTCTCCGTGTCTTTATGCTTGGGCAGTGCGTATGCCGCACCAAGTTTTCCATCGTTCTTCCACTTCCCGAGCTGTCTGAAGTCCCCTTGCTGGAAATCCGTGTGCCATTCTTCTAGGACCTGTCTCTCCTCCTTCAATACGATCCTGTGTTCATCATTAAAGACGAAAGTGCTTCGCATGGCTTCAGCGTAGGTGACCGGACACATCACCAGTGTGTCGCCGGGATTCCTGTCCAGAGAAACACACACCGGCCCATCGAGGTCCTGTCTCAATCGTAAGACGTCGGCCATATCAGTCCCATCAACTAACCTCGAGTCGTCGACACCATTCCTAACATCCAACTCAGAAAATCCAATATTCTCTAGAGACAAACCCAGCCAATCGATCGTTCGGAAGGCAACACTCATCTCCTGCGCTAAACGTTGTTTCGTTCCCTCGGTCCTCTCGCGCGGCACATTCTTTGCGTTCCTGGCAACTGGTGGACAAGCACTCAAAGTTGACAACCGGAAATGGATATGATCTTTCACTTTTGGAAAGGTTTGACCGTGGTATTTGCACACAGCTAAGCCATTCACCGCATGCGTGCGGTGATTGTGGATGAGATCGCTCACATTCGGACCCCGAGTCCAAACTACGCGTGAGCGTCTCTTCACCATTTCTCGGACATGCACTTAAAGTGGCATTTCCCCAATCTTCTCACGAACAATTCTAACTACTTCGCCCTTCTTAATTCGTTCATCGAACCGAATTTTTACCACAACCCTACTTCTCACGTTCACGCCAAACTTCGCTCGAACCACATCGGGAACCATCCTCCTGGCCCTCGATCTGTTCCGCTTCGTGGAAAAAAGTTTTGTTGCCCCATAATATCTCACCAAGCCGCCAATATCCTCCTTATCAAGTAAGCCCCGCTTTTTCCTGTTTTTGAACATTCCCACGAGCTTCTCCTTCAAGGCCAGGTTCCGTGGCGAAGCTTCGACAACATCACGCACCACCACTCGTCCCTTATGCTCAAACTGCCTTTTGCACTTACGCAAGGGTCTAGTCCGTTTCCCGGCTCTAACTCGCGACTCCCCGAACAAACGATGAACAACCCTCCAATTGTCGACCCAGACTATCCTGCCATTTGTTATCAACTCAACATCCTAATCGGAATCACCCTCTGCAACAGATCAAGTACACACACGGTCGAATCCACGTCATCTTTCATTCGCAGCTCCAGAAACTTAGAGCCCTTAGAGCTCACGACAGCTCCCACTTCCCGCTCCCTTTCCTATTCGATTTTTCTCTCCCGTAATCTCCGTCGCTCCTTCTTTCCTCTCCGACGTCGTTTCCAAGTGGTTTTCTTTTTCATCTTCGTGTTAAGCGATGGAGACCACATCCGAATGACCGTCCGCTCGACCGCCTCTAGGTCCTTTTTAACCCTACTCGAGAACAACGGAATGGCCATGTACTCTTGAAAGCCAACCTTTCCTAGCCAGTTGTATAAAACCCTCCTTCTCTTACCCCTCCCTTTCTTTCCACACGCCACATGCTCTCCCCATCTTACGCATAAAGGCCTCTCGGTCATTCCCACATACGTTTGCTTAAATCGTGGCGAAAGCAAAACATACACACAACTACTGGGATTAGTTAGATCCAATCGATCTTTCAGCGTTTCTTCCCTCCAATACTCAACAAATTTCCCACCCCATGGTATTCCACCGTGTATACACAAAGCTATCACTAAGGCGCGCATTCGACGTTCTATCTCTAAATTTTTACCATCGTCTCGGAGGCGAGACTCCTGCAGATCTTGCACTTCCTTTCGGATTTTAACGGACTCCATCTTCACTCCGACTCACTATCCTCATCTTCGTCATCACTGATATCCGATGCAGGTAATGCCTTCGAACCAGGCTTCTGGCCTGTCTTCGTGCTCCTTTTCGCCCCGCTAGGCGTCACCGGTAAGGGCACATTGATTGGGTCATATGCCTGCAGAACGCGTCTCGTTACCAAACGCTTGATTGCTACCTCCCTCTTGCCATATCCGATCTTCTCTTTCTTACATGCCTCTTTTAGCTCGTCGACGGTTAGAGCCTCGAAAAGCTCGAGGCAATCAGCTTCATATTGCTCGCGGGCTCCGGGTCCGCATCCTGCTGTCACGTGCTTCATGGATAGTGACAATTTACGCACTTGTTCCAGCAGCGATGATGAGTCCAACTTCCCGGATTGACTATAGCGGATCTCCTCGATGCGCTGCTTTGCCTCGGTAGACAATCGCTGGCCCTTCGAAGGAGTCACCATGGGAGGACTATTCCCGATCGACGCCTCGGGTCCTCGTTTTCTCTTCTCGGTGATCCTCAAACTAGCAGCACGTTTCCTTAATCGCTGCAGCTCTTCATCCTCCTCTTTTGTCTCTGCTAGTGCTATCTCTCGTTTCAATCTCTCTTTCTCCTCTGCTTTTGTTTCACTACGCTCGTCAACCGCCACCGGTTGCTTCATCTTCAAGCTGGGATCCTGCACTTCTCTCGGTTGTTCACGCCGTACCTCCGCAAAAACCAATTTCAGCTGTCGCTCATCTCTCTCGTTCTCGTACCTCCGCTTTTCCTCCAGCTTAGCTAAGCGTCTCTGCTCCTTTTCCCGACGCTCATGTCTGCTTTCCGTTCCGCTTCCTCATGCGCTTGCCTTTCCTTCAGCTCGCATCGTTCCTCCTCTAGTTCCAAGAAATACTGGCGCATCACGGCGTTCGAATCGTCGGGCGTTGACCGCAATATGCTATCCGCAGACAGACTGCGACCATGCTCCATGCTCCTTGTGAGTGGTCTCCCATGCCTACCACGACCAACCGCTGATGGGGGCGGGGGTAGGACAAACGGTACACCTTGCCGCCTAGCCGCCCAGTATTCGTCACAAACGTTGGCGAAGTGGTCCGTTTCATGACAACGATAGCAAGTCTTGCCCGCCATCGGATTCGGTCGTGAAGCTGCGGGAAGAGGTGGGGGGGGAGGAGGAGGAGGTCCCCCTGACCCACCCGTTCCACTCCCTTGGCTCATCTTTCAGATCCGGACTCGACTATCGGCACGCCTGGGGTTCTTCCTCACCCTCCCACAGCGTGTCTCGTTCCTGCTACGCGTAACTTACACCAATCGACTGATATCCACCCTTGCACAAATCACCTCACATCAACAAGTATCACTCATTGATTTCCATCCTCATCGGATTGCTGCTGCTGCCACCCTCTCTAGGTACAATCTCCTAGTAGGTTACGAATTTTGTTGCTGAGAGCATTCATACAAGTACACGACACGACATCGCAAGATGACGTAATATCGCGACACAGCACAAGATAACTGTAAAACCAGAAGAGTTCCATTAGAATTACAATCGCCCGTGGCTCAGGTTGAGCACGCAACAATCAACGTAAAGTGCGCTCTTCAGCACGTCACCACCATCACCAACCCCCCCATCCCATCTTCCACATCCCGACGTACTAACAATGTGCCAAAGGCACAAATGGAGTCAACAGGCGTCGGCCAGTTACTTATGTAGTCTACATAGTCAACCAAAATCCGAGTCACTGGACTTTTGTCGGGCCCTATGGGACAGCAAAACGGGTACCGTGCGAGTGTCAGATCACCGATTCGACGCCAGAGGACTATCCCACACCAAGCAAAAAGTAAACTTCGATCCAAAGCGACAGTTCGAAGCCAAACTCAAGATCTTACACTTAATCCTATTCTGAAGCCTTGCCAAATGACAAACAGATAGCGGGTCACCGGTTCGAGGCCAGGGTTAGGCCGCCGGTTTTCAGAACTCAAGCACACCGCATATCCACAGTGCTTCCGTCCTATTCTAGGATTATCCCCAGGAGCATGGTCCCATTAATAGTCGGATAGGAATGTGGCCGATATAGTGTGACACTGAGTGGCAGCGGACTGACAGGTTCATTACGAATTTCTGGGCTAAGAAAACAGGAGGATGGCCAAAAAAAAAAAAAAAAACAGAGACCTCCCACCTGAAATTACGGCAGAGTGCTTCCCAGCCATCAGATCACAAATGATCTGATGCTGGTGGTTGCAACAACAATGAACAAAGTAACTGACACATTTTCTGGAGTAAAATAAACTTTTGTCAACAGTGATCCTGACGCCCTCCATACACTCCATGATTGGAGGGCTCCGCCCAATGAGATAATTGCATAACAGCAAGCAAAGTACTGAAAATCTTCTATCCAGTGGGCCTATGGCCGACCCCACTCTCTTTTGGGGTTGGCCATACCCCCAACGGATTGAAAATATTTTGGCGGGAAGCTTCCTTTGCACCAAGCCTAGTGTTAAGGAGAGGAGGAGGGGAACCAAGATCTCCTTACTTTTTCGGGTAATACATGTAAAATACTGACCGTAGGATCACGCGTACTGCACGACAGGATTTGGGTCACTCAACTGCCACACAAACTCTTTTCTATCCTATCTCGTTGCTAGTGGGACCATGCTCCAGGGTGTTGTAGAGGTCAATTAGTGTGTGCACAGTGATCACCTGGAACTGTGAGTCGTGGGTGTTCTGGAATATGAGACCACCTCCCAACCCATCTTCACCTCAATACTCCTAGCGCACCCCCTATCCCACTATTATACCTCAGTGTGACCAGCACTTAGGACCATTGCCCTACCAACGGGCAGGCAACTTGGACCGAACAACAGTGATAGCCCTGGTGGAAGCGGAATCGGACGAACCTTGTCGAATGTGAACTTCGGACGCCAGGCCCAGACAATGAACTACAGGCCCCATATATATATAGCCACCGTACAGTTCTATTCGGATGACATGATTAGGAACTGCACCCAATGGCACCCTATGCCGTTGAACAAAAAAAAAAAATTGGCGTCAGGTTTTTTTTTTTTTCTTACTTCTTTTAATGGATGAAAAAAAAAAATGGGCGTGTGGTGTTTGAAAAACCCTACACGCCCATATTTGTTTTTTCTAATTTTGATATATATACATATATAATTTTATTAATAGAAAACTAAAAAAAAAAAAAAGA